CCCCCCCCCCCCCCCCCCTCAAATGCTGCACCATGGCCTGGATCTCGGCATTGCTCGCTCCGAACAGGGCGCATGCCCGCTGCAAGGGTTCCAAGTCCTTGAGCAGCGCAGCCTCTTGGAAGGTCGAAACCACCGGGGCCCCTGGTAGGTACCCTGCATCCCGGCATCTGAACCCTGACATTATGTATGTGTACATCTACAATTACATACTTACATACCTACATATCCACCTACATACATACATACATACATACATGCATACATACACAAACCTGTCGTCTATACATATACATGTACATGCCCTTCAGGGACCCCCGGGATCCTTCAAAGAGGGGTACGGGTCCGCATTAGGGTCCCATACCTCCAACCTCAGGCCTCTGCAATCTCCGCAAAACTGCCCACCGTGATCATCTCCCGCAGCGTGCTCACGGCACCTTAGCGACAGGCAAGCCCGAAACTACTGCACAATGGAAAACACACGATGTAGGGTTTGGGGTTTGGGTTTAGAGGACATGGTGGAGCACCTCGCTCTTCAAAGGACAAGTTCAGCTGCGCGTGCTTGGAAACAAAATGAAACAAAGAGCTTAGGCAAAGGAACCCATCCTCTTTGAAGAAAGCAAACTAGAACACTCATGGTTTCAAACCAGCACTTAGGGCCAAGTACCTCAATTGTTACTGATGGCCTTATAAGACAGCTTATGCAGAGATCACTGAATGATCACAGGGCACCATACCGTGCACTTGCCAGCGGTGTGCCAAGTCTAAGGCTCCCAGTGTTGCCTGGTAGTCCGGGTCCTCACGAGTCGAGCTTGTGTAGAGCAAGTCCAAAAAGAGCGACGCACTGGAAGCTGTAGAATCCTTGATTTCAATGCGCTTCCGGGTGCCCTCCTGCATAGTAGACTCCAGCATTGCTTTTAGAACGGGAGACGCAAGCATGAGGATGTGATCATGTACAGACACCTCTCCGTCTGATGTCTCAAAGACAACCTTATGTGTGGAGGTCATGTGCCTCATGGATTCCCACAAGTTCATTGTGCTCTGGGGTACAACTTCCGTCTGCTCCTTCGGTGGTCCTATACAAGCCAATACCGCCACCACATCTTCCAAATACTTCTTCGACTTCTCTAAGTAGAGCGGTGTCTGTCTCCGTCTGCTTGTGCAGCGCATCCAACAGCGCAAAAGTAAACGAGATCGCTGAGTGACCTCTGTATGCGATCCTGAAAAGTGCAGTTGATTCGGGGTGCACATCGCGGCACAAAGTGAAGGACAAAGAAAAGTCCTCTGGGTGCGTTTGCTTTGGATCCGCACCACGCCTCAGAATCCACTTGATCGTCTCCAGCCTCGTCTGGAGATCCTTATCAACCTCGAAAAGAGCAATTGCCACGAGCAATGGAAGCTGCTTATGCGGCCCAATTCCTTGAGACCAGTCAAAGTCATTCGGCGTGAACCCTTGGCTGCATGTTTTGCAACCAGCGTTGAAAACACCGCGAATTACAAAGGACCACAAAGCCCAAACGCAACTGGCACCCACAACGCTGGCATCTAAACAATTTTCTGAGGGCGGGATCTCGTGTGACATATTTGCGCAAAGTCTAATGGGATAGCTAGGCCATCAGTTCTCTTGTGAGGAATCTCAGTGAGAACATGCCCTACCAAGCAAACGTGGTACCTTCAGGATCGAGGAATTGGCCTGAAGCATCAGGATATGATTTGGCGTATGATTACAACGGGGCTTAGGGCTCAGGATTTAAACACGCGCATATTTAGGGTTTACGGTTTAGGGGTTAGGGTTTAGGGATTCCATTGTTGCTCCTGAAAAAAAGTCAGGAATCGCTGCAAGCCGGAAAGGTTGGCCCGCAGGATAAAGCCATATATAACATCACTCACATGATCCACGGCCATGCTGTAATCTTACTGAGGTCAGGAGAATGGAGGGGATAATGGATAATCATTGAAAAATGCAGACTGAAATGGAAGCAGCGGGATATAGAGGTTGAACTCTTAAGTAGCTGATTCTCACTAGGGAATGAACGAGTGGAACATAACATGGAAATATGTAGATGTCTTCTTTCCCTACTAGCCACGGGCAAGTAATGCGGAGTTCTCTGACTGTAAAAGCGGGTAGGAGGAAATGCGCGGGCTTTGATGTGCCGCAAATTCAGCGCATGCCCATGCTTGAACCTAAACCCTAAACCCTTAACCCTAAACCCTAAACCCTGAACCCTAAACCGTAAACCCTGAACCCTAAACCCTTAACCCTGAACCCTAAACCTTACACCCTAAACCGTAAACCCTGAACCCTAAACCCTAAACCCTGCTTGAACCTTCAACGGCAGCGGCTCTGAGCTTCTTAGGCTTATCCACCGCACATCCCACAAGCCCACTCTGACTGCGAGAATAAGGTTAAGGGTTTAGGGTTTAGGGTTTAGGGTTCTGAATTATGGGAGCAGATGAGCTCTTTTTCCACAAGGAAAGGCTTTGGCACTTCCAGAAGGCAGACACTAGATTTTAGAAAGGCTTCCTGGTAGCATTAAACACCCCGCCCCTTACGTTTGGGATACCCAATAATAATATACTCAGGTATAACAGTAAGGAATTCTCGATTATTAGGGGCGGAGGCAATTTTTATCTTCGATGCGGACCGTAGATGGTTTTCTGTCTGGGAAAGATCCGCCCATGTGCTGCAGTGCCTAACACGTGGATGGGGTTGGGATTGGCATTGTGACCAAGTACGTGGTGATACGCATTGTGAATCAATTTTGTACTTGTGTCAACTTCTTACCTCGATATGCTGGGGTGTGGTTCCTAAAGCTACTGCTGACAAATAACGCTGTAAAATGCAGATCAGAGTGCTTGCACATGAATGTCGAATTCAGATTAAGGGGCTGCGATTCGAACGGGGGTTCCTGCTGACAATCCCTATTACAGGGACCCCTGCAAAGGGACCTTGAAACCCACAAATGGTAGTTTCCAAAATAGGGGGGCCCCGGACTAGACCCCCAAATAGTATAATCCTTATTAGGGGGACCCCCAAAAAGGTACCCCTAATTTTGGGAAACCTCCACTGTAACCCCATGGAGGACATTGCCTCTGCTGCCTGGTGCTTCATAGGGAATTGTGGAAAGGAGCAATTCAGAT